TAACAAAACCATTATACCCTGATTTCCCATTTTCAATGGGTTCAGGGTATAAAAATTAAATGAAACGGACGGACAGACGCACGACGGACATTGCACAAAACCAATACACTCATTTAACTTTGATGAATGACTATGAAAATATCACAGCATACCATTAATGTAGTTCTAGCATACCGAAATGTCTTTAAATGTGCGTAACTCTCTTACAAATGGCTAAAAATGTGTATGCTTATAAGCAACCACATTTCCTTTAATCTCTCTGGCGAACAGAATTGAGAAGTCGCGAGGTGTTACGAAATCAACTAATATTCTGTTAGCCAGCATATTTCATGGTAATACTCATTTCTGTGCGCCCAGTATTTCCAAAACTTGCACAGCTATTTTGCTGAAGTAATTGGAGCACAGAAATGAGAACTAGGGTGCGAAATAGAGCTTAAATGCCCTGTTACGTAGCAGCGTGCTAACATGATTTTGTTAAAGCCCAGATTTTTTAAAATTTGTTTACATTTCACAGTTATTATACTATATACTAACAGTTGTTTTAACATAATGCTGCTGTGAGTGCGGTAGCGGTGTACTGCTAATATACTGTTAACCTAAATTTTGCACCCTACTGCTCATTTTATTTTATTTCACTCAGTACTTGCAGAACTTCTTAAGCTATTTTGATGAAATTTCATGCTATCAGAAACGATAAGTAAGGTACAAAATGTTCGTAAACATTATATTAAGAGTTTTTTCAATGGTACTTCTCAAAATAGTTAGTATATAGCAATATTTCAAATTTTAGCCCCAACTGCCGCAACAACAGCCCCTATACTATATTTTATGGAGCATAAACATAACAAAAATTATAAAATCGGGGTTTTTTTTTAAGATATTTTTCGATATACGACGCTCCCAAAGGAGGGAAATAATGTTGTTGGTTCATCAATAGAGGAGTTTACCAGTAAGTCAACTATCTAAATAAGCTTCAAGCTTTAATAGAAGTAAATATATCCTGCCATATATTTTTCATCAATGCATCAGTAGCGTTGCAAAAAGGTACTTCATACAGGCAGCAAGGCGGAGAACGCACAAAACCTATATACTCGTGTATCTTTTGTGAATGACTATGAAAATGTTGCTGTTCCTGTTAACTGTTACATATTATAAGTGAAATATAATGTATTTTAATTGAAGATAATATA